CCATATATCTGCAGATTGAAATCAAATTCTTTGCCGTATAAAAAGATAAATTACCCAGGCGCTGCCGCGCGTCCCACTCATCACGCCAGCGCCAGACGGCAAGCAATTTTTTTTTTTAATGTGCTAACGACCTAATCAAGCAATCAAGTCTGAGAAGATTGCAGAGTGACCGGGGCAGCCATCTGCCGGCGAGCCCCGCATTCATTTCCCGCGCCCCCGCGCGGGGCGGAGCCGGGGAGGGAGCTGCCGGGGGAAGAAGGGGGAAAAGCCTAAACAAATTAACACCCAATTTTCCCCGTCTAATTAGTTAAATGAGAAGTGTTTGGGGTCCCCCGGGGAGGGGGAGCGGCTCGCAGCGCGGCTCGTGCTGCCTCCCCCGCATTTATTAGTGGGGGGCAATGCCGCGGCCCCCGGGGGAGCAGCCGCTTTAATTTCCCGTGATATTTCAGTGCCTGAGGCCCATCGATTCAAACTGAAATTAACTTATTTTTCAATCAGCCCAGGGCTGCCCCTGGGGGTGACTCTTCTTTTGCCGCCTCCTGAATAGAGCTGGAGCGATTTTTCATCAAAAGCTGAAACCTCCGCTGCCGAGGGCGGGGAGGGGGCCCGGAGGGAAGGGGGGACCGGCGAGACGGGGGGAATGGAAATCGCAGCGGAAACTAATAGGTTTCTGGAATCCGCCCTGCCCTCTCCTCTTCTCCCCACTTCCCAGAGCTCCTTGCTGCGCTGGGGCGGCAGAGCCCAAGGAGCTGTGAAGGAACAAGAGGGGCCCCGGGCTGCGCCCCCCAGCTACTGGAGGAACAGCGGCCTGCCCCTGGTTCTGGTTCCTATCAGTGGCTGGAGTCTGGGGAAAGCTGGTTTGGGAGACAAGGAATCTCCCCTCCCCCAAGCATGGCAGCCCCTCCAGGGCAGGAGAGCTCCAGGCACCCCCAGGACAACCGCCCCTCATTCAGACTGCACCGGTGTGGGGACCAGAAATAAAACCTTCCCTGGCGGCTCCACCACACTCTCCTGGGTGCCCACTCCCATCTCCTGCTCCCACCACTGACAATTTCATATTTCTTTCCTGACCGAGGGATGGCTGCCCAATCCCTCAAATATGATGCCCAGTTGGGTTGGTAACTGTGGGTGGCGGGCTTAGGCCCGGGCCCAGGAGGGCGCTGACGCAGGCCTTCCGGGAGCACCCCCTCCTCTGCTCCGTTCCCAGGCTTCATGGCACCTTCATGCTGCCTGGAAACCTTCGGCGGGAGAGGGAGGGAGCTCTGAACACGGCTAGTCCAGCCCCTGGGAAGGAACGTGTGCCTCTGCAAGGCAGACATTCTGGTTATGCCCTAAGGTCTGAGCACAACACTACCTGGGTCGGGCTTCTCGGCTGCAAACTGAGGACCACATTGGGCCCTGCTCACCTGCAGGACCCTGACCTAGAGTGTCCTTATCCCACTAAGAAAAAAAAAAAAAAAAGAAAGAAAACAAGAGACCCATTTCACCCATCAGACTCTCACAGGACTTGGGTCCTCATTCTGGAGGATACCCCTGAGCCTGGAAGAACCCCCTGGGTACCATGGGGCTTGAGTAAGGACACCCACCTGGAGAAGCCAGCAGTCCCAAGAGTATGGGGCCATTGGCCATGGAAGGGGTGGGGACCTTAACTCCAGATAGACATGGGCGAGGGGGAGGCCTGGGCCCAGGGCCCCTCAGGGCACACCCCTGACCTGTTGGTCTACACCTGCAGGTCTGGTTCCAGAACCGCAGAGCCAAGTGGAGGAAGCGAGAGAAGTGCTGGGGCCGGAGCAGCGTCATGGCGGAGTACGGGCTGTATGGGGCCATGGTGCGGCACTCCATCCCCCTGCCCGAGTCCATCCTCAAGTCCGCCAAGGATGGCATCATGGACTCCTGTGCCCCGTGGCTGCTCGGTAAGAGCCCACACCCTCCTTGGGGCCCTGCCCCCGAGGCAAGGAGAGTGGGCTCCCCTAGAGGGGACAGAGCCTGGAGCAAAGGGACCTGGCACGGCAGCCGAGCAGAAGGGAGGCCCTCCAAAGCAGGTCCCCCAGCTCCCTTGGGGGCTCCGTGTGGGCCGGGCCCAGGGCTTGGTGTCTCTCTTGCATCCACCCACGGTGCCTAGGATGTCCATCCTGGGCAGGTCCCTGACTGTGGGTTCTTTTGTCCTGTGGGGGGGGGGGGCGGTGTGACTGGTGCCCAGGGTCTGTACCCCTTTCTTCCCTGTGGGAGGTGCGCTTGTGATGAATGGAATGGCCCCTCTTGGGGGCTGGGGGACCCTAGGTTCCTTTGGCCACATTCTGGCTTTGCCAAAGGCCTTCTTGCCCCCTCAATCTCTCCACCTGCCATCTTCCTCCTCCTGCCATCTGGGCCTCTGTCTGATAGAGCACCAGCCTGCCTTGGGGTTCTAAGACCTGGAATCCCAGGAGGGAGGGATGGGGAGCAAGCTCTGTGCTTGGGAAGGGACAGAACAGGCTGCAGGGGGGCAGTGCCCAGGGGCGTGGCTGGGAGGAGCCCTCTGCAGGCCGGGTGCCTAGTTGCTGGTCTGCAGCCCTCCCCGCTGCCCTGGCCCAGCCCTGGGACTCATGACTGTGGTGTGTGAAGTAAGGCTTTCTGCTTGTCCTTAATTCTGGCCTTTCTCTATCTTTGCCGTTTTCAGTTCAAGATGGCTTTCCCAGGCGCTTTTCTAAACCCGAATACCAACACTTCTTTTTAGGAATGCACAAAAAGTCGCTGGAGGCAGCAGCCGAGTCGGGGAGGAAGCCCGAGGGGGAGCGCCAGGCCCTGCCCAAGCTGGATAAGATGGAGCAGGAGGAGCGGGGCCCCGACGCCCCGGCCGCCATGTCCCAGGAGGAACTGAGGGAGAACAGCATTGCGGCGCTCCGAGCCAGGGCGCAGGAGCACAGCACCAAAGTGCTGGGGACTGTGTCCGGGCCCAACAGCCTGGCCCGGAACGCCGAGGAGCCCGAGGAAGAGGAGGCCATGGACGAGGACAGACCAGTGGAGAAGCTGAGTCCCCGGCAGCTCGAGGATGTGGCTTAGGTCAAGGGTTAAGGGTGCGCTGCCACCGGAGCCCAGGACTGCTCTCCTCCGGGCCCGTGGTGCCGGGAGGTGTCCTCCGAGGCTGGGCCCAGCCTGGCCTTTGCCGCCCGCCCCCTGCCCCGTAGGCCCTCCATGACCCCCGGGCGACCTCGGACACGCCCAGTGCTGGCCAAGGCTTTGGACCGCGCTGGTAACCCCTTCCTAGTCTGGCCTCCTCAGCATCCTCCTCAGCCCGACTGCCTTGCCTCGGAAGCCTTTCTGCTGCCCACACCGCCCGCTCAGCCGCTTTCACTCAATCCCTGGCCGCTCTCCCCGTCCGGATCCACCCTCACTGTCCTCTTGCTCTAAACCCTCTGCCCAGCTCTGACCCGCTGTGGATTCCGCCCCCCCCCCCCCC